AGGAACATACCGTCTCATATACAAGATGATTCAAAATCAGTTCCAATACAATCATTTCCCAAGAATCCATGTTGGTTTTGTGGCGGATTACATTATGCAAAGAATTGTACATACAGAAATCATAAATGTAACAGATGTAATAAGACTGGTCATAAAGAAGGTTATTGTGATCTAGGCCAGAAAAACAAATTCATCTATCGTAATAATAGCTCATATTCCAATACAAATGCTATATATGATGTGAATAACATTGGGAATGAGCTAAACAGGAAATATGTCGATATCTTGATCAATGATATCCCTGTCAAATTACAAATTGATACGGCATCCGATATAACAATCATTTCAAAAGCCACGTGGATTATCCTTGGAAAACCAGAGTGCCAAATAACGAACCATGTGGCACGTAATGCATCGGGAGATATATTTAATTTGACATCTGAATTTTTCTGTGTGATGACTTTCAATCAACAGACCCATTCTGGAAGGTGCTTCGTGTCCCCAGTGGAAGGTTTGAATCTATTAGGCATTGACTGGATCACAAAGTTCAGGTTGTGGGATGTACCAATTAGTTCCATCTGTAGTGAAATAATGGCAGCCTATAGTGAATATCATGTCAGTAAAGAGACATTGCAATCAAAATTTCCTGACGTGTTTCAAAATACACTAGGACATTGCACAAAACTAAAAGTGGATTTGAATATCAAAGAAAATGCTGTCCCAGTTTTTCGTCCAAAGAGACCTGTGGCCTTTGCAGTTACTGAAAAAGTTGATCAGGAACTAGAACGGTTGCAAACACTTGGTATAATAACACCAATAAAATTTTCAGAATGGGCGGCGCCCATAGTGGTTACGAAGAAAACAAATGGCGATATTCGGATCTGTGGAGACTATTCGACGGGTCTCAATGACTCACTCAAAACTCATCATTATCCACTCCCAACCCCCGAAGAAATCTTCGCAAAACTAGCCAATTGTACTATTTTCAGTATAATTGATCTTTCGGATGCATTCCTTCAAATTGAAATTAATGAATCATCCCGGAAATGTTTGACCATAAATACGCATCGTGGACTATTCCAGTACAATCGAATGCCATTTGGAATCAAGGTAGCGCCATCCATTTTCCAACAAATTGTTGATACTATGATATCTGGCATGAACGGAACAGCAGCCTATATCGACGATATTCTTGTTTCTGGTAAGAATGCAAAGGAACACCAAGAAAATCTAGCGGAAGTTCTCAAACGCATACAAGAGTTTGGGTTCCATTTGAAACTTGAAAAATGTAGATTTGCTGCCAACGAAATAAAATACTTGGGACATATCCTCGATATCAACGGAATCCGCCCCGATCCTGCAAAAACAGCAGCTATTAGAAGAATGCCTCCACCACATGATTTAGCTACTCTACGATCTTACCTTGGAGCTATCAATTACTATGGAAAATTTGTTAAAAATATGCATGTCCTCCGACAACCACTGGACGAACTTCTAAAGAAGAATGTGGAATTTGTTTGGACAAGAGAATGTCAGGAATCTTTCAATAATTTCAAGAATATTCTACAGTCAGAGTTATTATTAACATATTATGATCCAAAGAATGAAATAATTGTAGCAGCAGACGCCAGTTACTTAGGTATTGGGGCTTGCATATTTCATAGATTTAACGATGGATCGGTCAAAGTAATTTATCATGCATCAAGAACTCTCACAGATGCTGAAAGAAAATATAGCCAGATAGAAAAAGAAGCAGCGGCATTGGTTTTTGGGGTCACAAAATTTCATAGAATGATTTATGGTCGATCATTTATTTTACAAACAGACCATAAGCCCCTCTTGGCAATATTTGGGACAAAAAAAGGTATTCCAATATATACAGCAAATCGCCTTCAACGATGGGCACTTATTTTGAAAGCATATGATTTCAAGATAGAATATATAAAAACTACCGAATTTGGACACGCAGACATGTTATCTCGACTAATCAATTCACAACCAATGGAAAATGAAGATTATATTATTGCCTCAGTGAACATAGAAACCGAAGTTTGTCAAGTTTTCAGTGAAATTTTAGAATTCATTCCCATTGACTATAAAATGATTCATCACGAAACACTCAAGGACGAAATTCTTCAAGAAGTCATCTATTATATCGAGCATAATTGGCCTAATAAAAACGAAATTCATCAAGAAATTTTGAAATTCTATTTCAGGAACGATTCATTGTCGGTTGTTAGAGGTTGTTTGATGTTCGGAAATCGAATAGTGATTCCAGAATTATTCCAAAATCAAATCGTAAGGCAACTGCACCGAGGACATCCAGGTCAAGAGAGAATGAAGGCATTAGCAAGAAGTTATGTCTATTGGCCGAATATAGACAAAGATATTATAGACTATGTAAGGAAATGTGATCATTGTGCACGAGCAGCCAAGTCTCCACAAAACATACCAGCATCACCGTGGCCAAAAACAGATAGGGCGTGGCAAAGAATTCACGTGGATTTTGCTGGTCCGGTGAATGGTAACTATTACATGCTGATCGTTGACGCGCACTCAAAATGGCCTGAAGTATTCACCACTCGCTCAGTAACCTCTCATTTTACAATTCTAAAGTTGGAAGAGGTATTTGCACGTTTTGGGTTGCCTGAAACCATTGTCACAGATAATGGAGGTCAGTTCACTAGTGAACGTTTTAAAAAATTTTGTGAAATGAATGGTATTGATCATTTACGTACTGCACCGTATTGGCCACAATCTAATGGACAGGTTGAAAGATTTGTGGACACGTTCAAGCGAGCTCTCATGAAAATTAGGAGGGAAGGGAAATCGGAAGAGAATCAAATACAACAGTTCTTAGCTGTATATAGATCAACACCATCACGCACTACACCAGAAGGAAGATCACCTGTAGAACTGATGATAGGAAGGAAAATGCGAACTTCCTTTGATCTATTGTTTCCCCGGAAGCAATCGAATCATAAGAGTACTGCCTCCACAGATCATTATGAAAATATCTTCAATTATGGAGATTTAGTATATGCCAAGATATACAGAATGAATAGTTTCAAATGGATGCCGGGTGAGATAATAGAAAGAGTTGGTAATGTCATGTATAATGTTTTCATTCCAACTGATCGTCGACAATTATTACGATTACATGTAAACCAATTGAAACGTCGATATAATAATGATTCTGGCATGTAAAACTCATCATGTGATACATGGATGGATATGTTTGAAGACAGTTCTAGGAAGCAAACTGACTTTTTTGATAATAATAGTTCTGATCCGCGTCAATCCATTTTGTCTCATGGGTCAACAACGTCCAGTCAAGATATAGTCGAAGATACAACTATGCAAGAAGGCACATCTCACAATGATGATACAATACAAGAAGATATTGTTGTACGCAGAGAATCGGAGGAAAATCTACGAAGAGATGTTAGACCAACCAGAGTGTGTCGTCGACCTAGTTATCTTCAAGAATATATAACTTGAAAGAAGGGAGAAATGTTACCACTCTGTATAAAATGTTTTGATAGTTTTGTTTTCATCAGGAGTTGTCAAGTGTTACACAATACATGTCATGTTCAAGCAATAAAGGTGAAAAGTCGAATTCTATTCCATATCTTGATTGTATCTGAGAGCGTAACACCAATTTTGAATGGAATCTGACCATAATTACAAAACTCCTCCACCATATTGGATCCGCCATTTTGAATTTCCTAATTTTGATGAAGAAATCATAATCTCCGACCTCGAAAACCCCCAGATACCAATTCTGAATGGAATCTGACCATAATTACAAAACTTGTTCGCCATATTGGATCCGCCATCTTGAATTTCCAAAATTTTACGAAAGAATCATAGTCTCTAACCCCAAAAAGCCCCAAATACCAATTTTGAATGAAATCGGATAACAATACTCGTCCGCTATATTGGATCCGCCATCTCATACCTACCGAATACGCACAAAAAATTCCATACGAATCGGTCGAGCCATTTCGGAGGAGTTCGAGCACTAACACCGTGACCGGGACAGGAGAATTTTATATATTAGATTATATCCTTCGGCGCTTTGCGCCTCTTGATATCAAAGCTATATAATAGCTCACTTCTCACCCTAGGTGTATAATATACTATTATTGAATGATTTCATTTCCCTTTTGTTATTTTTCACTAGGAAAATTCTTAAAATTTAATACATAATATATAAGTGTTTTTATTGCACTTTTTGATTGGTCAGGCCTCTCTTATATGGTGGTTCATCCGCCTGTCTTGATTTCTCCATCCAGTTCTATGCATTCTTTTTCACTTTGTCAATGCTCTGTCACCGTTTCTCTCTCTTTGGACACAAAACATCCAACAAACAGACATGAAACTCTATATGTCTTATACCTTGGATGATAAGTATTAGAATCCGTCTTTTGGGACATCAGGTGGGCACTTCGAAAGCGCAAATTCATTACTGCATGTGTGATACCCTTCCGATATTCAATTAGTCAGTAACTTCACCACGAATAACATTCCGGAAACGGCAGCCATCTTGAGGTCTATTGTCCCCACTATTTGATCTACCCCCTCTAGGAAAGACATATTCTTCTCTCTCAACGCTAGCTGAACTTCTCTATTCAGATTATTTATGTTATGTTATTTACGCAGACTTTAATGCAACAATGTTCTTCAAACTTTTCACACACATAAATAGTCGTTATATAATATTCTCAATCTCTCAGATAAAAAAAGCCGTCAGTGTATTTTTTTCTGATACAAATATGATGGGGCTACATGGAACACTCATTTTCAAAGAACGCAAGTTTAAAACGTATATACCGTCAGTTTTCCAAATTTGATGTCGTTACTGATGTATAAATATGAATATCTTCAGTTGTGAGGACCATCTTTTTTGTTGGAAAAAAATCATCCTGCATTCATAATTTTCCATTATAGAATGTTTGGTGTAATTTTATAAAAAAAACTAGTTAGCTCTAACTTACCTCTCCATGTTTTCTGAATTAGCGTGGCGATACCGGGTATCAGCAAATTTCTGGCGTGCTCTAGGGCGTTCAGGGTCTGAGGCGTTCGAATAAACAGCTTAGTTTTGCCGTATTTGACGTCGTTCGAGAAATTGTTCTCGTCCATTATAACCTTGCAAGCGTCTTTGTCGGATCCGGATCTGAAGTTCGGCCACGTGAACTGCGAGATCATTTTATACCTGAAAAGAAAACGAAACTACTATCGGGGTGGTCCGATTTCTTGGCATCCCTGAAAATCAAACAGCTGTCAATAAGCACGCTTTTTCAATTGGTTACCGATTAATTTACGAAATGAACAGTTTAACCACCGGCCAACACGTTAAAACGCGACGAAGGTCAAACATTTATAAATGTGACAGTTTTCTGAGAAAACATAACTTGTAATACATCGTTAGAGAGGAAGGGGAAACACCAGTCACTCTAAGTGTGCAAAATATACAGTGATTTCATAAAATTGAAGTTGCCCTATACCTGAAAAATGGCTTGTTTGTTCCCAGTAGAACCAAGAGTATTAGTGAAAAGGTGAACCCTTCAAAGAAACTTCAAACATATCAAAATAGACTAGTCCAAACCGCATAACGATAACTTCAATTGTTTCGGAGATATGAGCATTTGAAATGGGTCAGAATGTAACTGGTCTACCGGATCTATGAACTACCCTTCAAAACTACAAAGTACTTTTGTGACAACAATGCTACGCAATAACTACAAGAAATGCCGAAGCTGTCAAGTTGTATAGTATTGACTTGACAGACAAAGCTATTCATATGAAAAAAGCAGCGATGTCATACTATAGTAAATTCCAGATAAGAATAAAGTAGATTGGATGGTTGGCTTTAGTATTTGTGTAGCTAACGTTGAGACTTTATTTTGCAGTTGAAACCTTGAATACACGTGTTTATCGACAGCACCTTGCTAATTGGACCACCTTTAACAACAACAAATGACACTCGATGATGCATATCACTTACCTTTTCAAGAACCTATCGTATCTTTGCCTGTAAGCAAACCCTGCCCTTCTGACCCTCACGTTCTCGACAAGGCCCAAATAGCTGACTTGGTGTTGCACCCTTTGTTCGTCGAAAGCTGAAGGCGATTTCATCTCGTTCGGTTTAATGCAGCGCACATAGTGGGGTTCCTTGTTTTGAAGGTTTTGTACGAGAGCTTGCATGGAGTTTTTGAAGAGCGTACCGGCTGTCGGAGGTCGTTTCGTTATCTGGAATCAATATGAAAATTTTATCGGGGGTCTCCTATAATGTCCCTAAAACTTCTTCCATTGAAGCCATTATCCAAAATAAAATAGAGGATATTAGTTTCACTGTTAATAAATAGCATGACTACTAATCAAAGTGTGAGGTTCTTGGTTATTTTTCTCGATGAGTTCCTCAACTGGAAGGTTCATTGTCAGCAATTAACTTCTGAGCTCAACACTCGAAGTTCAATCTTCGATCAATTTTCACATTTATATACACATATTTATCTCTTTGAGCACTTAAAAGGTAATCCCTATAATGTTCGAAGAACATCGTGCGTGTATGATTCCATTGATGCATCTATTATTTGGCTGCAGTTATTCCTGGATTCAACATATTCAGCTCTAGTCACGAGGTTACGGTTTTTGCGCCAGCAATGGTAGGCTGTTTATTTCAAGGAAACAGCTCTAGAACAATTATTTTGAACCATGGTTTCAAAGGTGGTGACCTTTCAAAATAATGAGGCATGTATGTGTCCATTCCAAGCGTGGTGATCTCGGATATTACTGCAGCACACTTTTTTTGTGTTCTGGTTCTCACGAAAAGGAATATCCTGTAATGTTCAGAGAACATCGTGAGAACCAAGGAGAAATAAGGTAGGAATTGGTGTTCTTCTTGAATTTCTGGAGGTTATATGCCTCGGGGAACACCTCCCTTGGCAATGTGTTCCAGAGCCTCGCTGTTCATTGGATGAACGAGTCTTTGGAAAGAGATGTTCTGCAGGTCTCCAAAGTGACCACGAAGGGGTGCAAGACCTTAACTCGACAGGTTAATCTCGCGGGGACTGCCAAGGAAGGAACAATTGTTGATATTTCGGAAGAGCATCGTCCATGAAAACATCTATAAAATAGAGCCAGATCGCCAACTTTTCTACGGTGTTTCAGAGAAGTGAGTGAGTTTGTGAGCGAGGCATCACCCACGAGACGAATCGCCTTTTTTTGGACAGAGGCAGTGCTGCACTCCAAATATGGGAACAGTATTCCAGGACAGGTCGGATCTGTGCCTTATAGATCATAAGCAGCTGACTGGAAGTGAAATAGCTCCTGGCCCGAAACAGAGAACCAAGTTTTAGGGATACACTTTACGCAATTGATCTCACGTGATTTTCCCAAGAAAGGTTATTGCTGATAGTAATACCAAGCATCAAAATCGATGTCTTCAGAAGTATGGTTACTCCTGAAAAGCTTATATTGGGTACAGTGAGATCGGCTTTTCTAGAGAAAAGGCATGCTTGTGTTTTGCTTGCATTGAAATCTACCAAGTTATTGGATCCCCATTCGAGAATTGTTGCAAAGTCCATATTTATGTTGTCAACATTTCTTCCTCGACCCTCGTTCGTTTCGGATTTGCCTGGCTGGTATTGGAGCCCTGGAAGAGAAGGCGGTATGGAGGGTACTATCATCCGCAGAGCTGTGTACTGGACATGAAGTTGCTTCCAACAAATCGTTGATATGGACTAGAAACAGTGTTGGTGCTAGAATTGATCCTTGCGGAACACCAGCATTTATGATAAGAGAGTCAGATGACACTCTGTCGACCACTACATGGAGAGACCTGTTTGAGAGAAAACTAGCTAGCAGAGAACATAGCTGGAGAGGCAAGCCATAAGATGGAAGCTTGGCGAAGAGTCCGTGGTGCCAGACTCGATCGAATGCCTTGGAAATATCGAGTGCCACGGCTAAGGTTTCACCATATTTTTCAATAGATTGCTGCCATATATGTGAGACGTAAGCGAGCAGGTCACAAGTTGATCTCTGATGACAGAAGCCATATTGCCTATCGTTGATAATACCTGAATGTTCCACGTAGTTCATGATGTTGATAGCTTTCTCCAAGATCTTTGAAATAATAGATATCAGTGCGATCTGTCTGTAGTTGCTAGGTAGGATCTTTTTGCCTTTTTCAGGAACTGTGAAGGATCCTCAGAATCAAAGCATAGTCTGTGCCAAGGAAACTCTGAGGAAAACATACGGTGACATACAAGACATGGGGATGCTGAAGCAATTGATGGAATGAAAAATGGGCAGGTTGTGGAGACTAGTGTGTGATCAGAATTGCCAAATGAAACTCGTACAGCTATGATGTAAGGTGCTGAATTATTTGTGAGGAATATGTTAAGTATGTTTGCTCAAATTCAATACAGACTGAGGTATGGTGTCAGTTCTTGGGGTGGATCAAGTACTGCTACAATGGATGTTTTCTTTGCCCAAAAGTGAATACTATGGTGTACAGCAAATGTTTCAGCTAGAGAATTATGTAGAAGTATTTTCGAGGATTATAAAGTTTTGACATTGACATCTCTTCATATCCTCAAATTATGTGTACGTTTTCAAAAATAGATCAACTTTTACAATGAATCATCTGCACCTGACTGCATTGGACCTTAAATATTCAATAAACTTCATGATAATTTGAGGTACGTGAAACACATTATTATGTTCAAAAGTATGTTGAAAGACTATTTATCGGAGACATGTTTTTATACAATGTCAGAATTTATAGAATAATATTAGTTTTAGGCATTACCAATTATATTAGTATTTTCTTTTCTCTATATATCTAACTTTCTTCATTCCCTTTTTTGTTTTATAGTGAATGTTATTCGTCTTATTATTATTATTAGGTGGCGATAACAAAGAAGATCTTCATCTTATTCCATGTGTAGGTACGTTCGTTGATGCATATGGTTCGTAGTCAGTTTCTGTACTTTTTGTCTACTCACCTCAGATATATGTTGTGCCCCCTCCGGCCACATTTCCTTCAGCCTGGCGTCCTTTGAGTTGAACAACAGCCTCTTGAAGTCCTGGAAGAGCGTATCCTTGTTCTTGTCGAGGAAACCGATGATGCAGTAAGTGACATCGCCGGCGTAGTGCGTCACTCTGAAGTCGATCTTGTGCCTGATGTTCTTCTCGGCTGGTTTCACCTGCAGGGTTGGAATCGTTATTAAAATTGCAGACAAATTGATTGTCTTTATTACCCCAAGAAACATTATTGTTTATAATAGGGATATATACAACAAAACATACATATTATAAAACATAATAAATCGAAACAATAATAATTGCACAATTATTGTTTTTCCTAAAAAAAAAAAAAAGAATTATAATGAAATATAAAATGAAAATATCATAATCCATAACAAGTAATCAAATTGTGAATGATTAGTACTATTAAAGTTTACTGAGCAGGTATTTCTTTAATTTCATTTTAAATTTTTCTGCTTCTTCTATATTTTTCAACTCATTAGGTAAGGAGTTATACAAAATTATTCCATTATGGAATATTGATTGTTTACCAAAATTTGACTTATAATTATTTGCTATCAATAAATTGAATTGCCTTGTTTCATGGGCGTGAATCGTATTAACTTCATTAAAATTCAAATTCGATATTTTCAATTCCTTCCTGACAAAATGAATAAAACAACAAATTTTGAGTTTATATAATGAAACTAGATTCAGCAAGTCTTTAGGTTTGTATAGATTCGCAGTTGATTCTAAAAAAGGTAAATTGAAAATGCACTTTATTGTTTTATTTTGTAATTTCATGAGTGGCTTCAAACGTGAAATATTTGTACTTCCCCAAATAGATATTAGATATTGTATATTTGAATAAAAAAGACAGAAATAAATACTCTTTAGGTATTTAACAGGAATGAAATTTCGAATTTTATATATAATACCAGCAATAGGATTCATTTTTTTTTCTCAATTGATCTATATGTAGAGTCCACGATAGTTGTTCATCTATATATAGACCTAAAAATTTTGTTACATTTTTATATTCAATGGATTTGTTATTGAAACATATTGGGGTATTATTCAATATATCCACCCTGTGTAGTTAGGGAACTAATTTAATTGTTGCGACACTTTTTATCTGTTTTTTATGTAAATAATGGGTCTATGCGTTGTTTGAAATTGTTGGATAACAGAGCTCATTTGAAACGTGCCGTCATGGTCGCCATGTTCTGGGATACGTCGGATACATGATGACGTCAGTTGTTATGCTGTTTCCTTATTGGTCAGATAATCTTCCATTTCCACTGATGAAGCAAGGTTGACAAGTCAAGCTATTAAAAAGTTGTTAGAGAGTCTTGCCGTTGAATGAAACTACATCCAAATTATATATTTCATTTGTCCTAATAGGAGAGAGCAATGATATTATAGTTATTCATTTGTGACTTTTTCAAGCAACCAGCTTGCAGCTCCATAAAAAACTATCATGTAAATCAACTAGAAAAAAAGCCAAATACTCAAAGTGGAATGCAATGGCCACAAAGAAGAGAAACTCAAAGTCATCACCACAATAGTTCATAAAATGAACGGAAATGATAGATTACTAGAGAAAACAACTTCTTTCCTGACTATATGCGACGCAGAACATTGGTTTACATCCTCCCGAAAGCTATGCAATAATAAATATAGACGAATAAAATGGCAAGTGTTTTCTTCCTAAACGCCAAGCTTTGCCTAAGTGGTTCAGGAACGCGTGACTACCTGCAGACCGGTTTCGAGCTGTTGGCTCTCCTCAGTGCAGGGCTGCCCGAGATAGCATTCTTGACCGCTATCTGGTGCGAACCTGACCAAACGTATACGCATCTCAGCATTTATACCCCACGAGGCGTTCAACGTCCGGAAAATGAACGCGAACGCCACCTAGCAGGGAAATAAACACTCCAAAACAAGATCCGATTTCAGGTGAAATGGGATTGACTGGTTGTCCGATTGGCGTATATTCAACTAGGAAAAAAGTCAAATACCCAAAGTGAAATGCAATGATCACAAAGAAGAACTGTGAACAATCATGTAGTGAGAACTAGGGCATTAATTGAATATCTGGGAGTGCACTTAGATCAAAAACTAAACTTCAACCATCATACCCAGTTGATGAAAAAAAAAAGTGCACAACAAGAGCTAAACATTTTCGAAGCCTAACTTACAAGAATAAAGGAATTAGCAAAAGAACTGCAGCACATATTTACAAAACCATTTGCCGCCCAATTCTTGAGTATGCTTACCCAATATACATAAACACTAGGAAGACGACACTGAACAATTTGGAAGTAGCAGAAAGAGCTAGCCTGAGAGACATTACCAAAATCCGGCAACCTCAAAATCCCCTTCACCATTGATCAAACGAACTTCTATATCGGCTGACCAGGGTGCAACCAATTTCTGAGAGACTGAAAAAGCTGATCTTAAAGTTTTCCAAAAATGAATCCAATCTTCAAATTATCCAATTCCAGTGTTTACAGAGAGATCCAACAGTGAACCCAAGACGGAAGTTTCCGGAAAACACACTATTGGAATGCTCAATCAATTTAGAAGACTGAAATTCCTTCAAAATTATTGCCTCACAATATAATTTTCTTCTTTTTTATCTTTTTTATCTTTTTTACTTTCACACTAGCAAATCTAATAATTCCATTTATCTTGTACATACAATAATGATAAATTTTTTTTTCAATCAATCAATCAACTTTATTCCCAAGAAACAATATTTGTTTATAGCAGGGAACATAGTGAATACATAAATATATTTGACAAAATAAAATAAAAAAGACAGTAAAATAAGACTCACACTCAAAAAGAATCTTTTTTTTTTCAAGTTCAAATGAAAATGATCCTCAATTGACTCAGCTGTTAGGTACACAATTGAAAACTATAGTAGTTGTACAAGAAAACTATAAAAATGAGATAAGATGTCAATATTACAGGAGTAGATGTTTCTTGAATTTTTCAATCCTATTAGTCAGCTTCAAGTTATTTGGTAGTGAATTGTATTGTATCATTCCATTGTGATAGATGGATTTTTTACCAATATCTGATTAAATTTTCTTGACAGAAAAATGATCTGCTTGTCTGGTTGCATGGCTGTGGTGATTACTATTGACTTGTATAATCACTGTGTAACACAGGCTGAAGGACCTCGGTCGGTGGCCTTTTGGGTATCCCATAAAGCTCCCTAATTATTATTATTATTATCACTTTTATGTTCATCTCATTCCCACACTTCACTATTATTTTTTCAATGTTGGAAAATTATATCCTGTCTGTATTTTGCATTTTCAAATATTTAGATGAAATCCATGTAACTACTAGATAATTCGAGAAGTTTTACAGAGTGTTGGGACATAGGCTAAGGGCTGATTGTTTGGACCAAAATATGGCAATAGGACCAAATATGCCTTAATAAAATATTGCTGTGGAAAAAGATACAGGGCGTTTCAATCGAAAAATTATCAACTATAAACTTGCACTAAAATTCATTGAACTGACAAGAAATGTAAGTCACCAGCAACAATTATCTGACAGTCTAAAGCACACCCTTCCGTGACTTTGAACTGTTCAATTGCGTTTTTCTCGGTAACGGATGAAAATATAGTTTTTACACAAGAGTACCAATATTACGTAGAAATGATGTTTGTCATATTTTCTAATCAAATTCACTTAAAAGTTTCGTCAAAAAAAGTTATCAGTCGATTTTATCATCAGGAATCATTCAAGTGGCGCCTCCTGGAGAATATGATTCATAAAATAATATTCCCTGCATAAAATTATGCCTCTCTGTCGATTTTTATAACAAATGATAAATACTTTGAAATTTTCAGCAAAAATGGGAATTAAAAGTAAACTTTACGGCCCTGTATCTTTTTCCACAGCAATATTTTGTTAAGGCATAGTCGGTCTTATTGCTGCCATATTTTGATCAAAACAATCCGCCCTAAGCCTATTTTGTATATTATCCCATGTATAGATGTATTTTATTTCATTTTCATAGTGAATCATTAACGAAATCAAAGATACCAGACTATTTATTTTCTATCTCCTGAGACGTTGAGAAATTACCAATTTCAGATTGATTATTATCAATATTTTGTAATGTCTTATTGAAACAACTTTAATATGGACACAAATTGAGTGAAAACAATAATCCAGATATACATAGGAGAAGTTATTCAAAAGGGAATTCAATCTAAAGCGCCACGGAGTAGGAACAAACTGAATGAGAGATATAATATTCCCTTCTCTCTTCCGCAAGGAACCGAGGGGACATAAAATACTCCCTGGTATGACCCTCGAAATGCGCAACTTTTTTCCCATTTAGGTAGGTTCCATGTTAGTGGGGCGAATACCGCCCCTCCACTGCGACCCCAGATGGGTCTATTGTGCCTCTTTTTTTCTTTTTTTCCCATTTAACTGAATTCGAGATACGTTTCCTAGATCCCCATGCTGTGCAACACTAATGTTTCAAAATCTCAAAATGTGGTGTAATCACTATGTATTGCCTCGTGAGTCATTAGTAACAAACAACTCATGTCATGTATACATAAGTTTTTCTGCTTAATAAATCCTAGTCATATTAGAGCCTAGCCATAGCACCACTATACGGAAAATATTGCCACGGTGGCAAGTCAAGAGCGTATAGAATTGTTTTGTAGTTTGTTTTGCCAGAAGCGTGGTGGTCATTAGAGTAGTGTTCCGAAAAGACCGGGGTTCGATCCCTACTCCGCTAACATTTTTTTCATTTTTTTTTTCAAGTAATTAATCGAAAAAATACTATAAAAGCATTTATCGGTTAGGCCGATAGTGATTCGCTATTTCAATTATGTTTTTACTCAGGATCGGCCGGAAATTTTCAGTTTCTTGCGCCCAGCGAGCAGCGAGCGAGGCGCAATATTACCTGGCTATGTTGGTATGGTTAGACTTTAGTATCCTAGTTTTGGAAGGTAATATCTACAACGTTCTCACCTGCCGCGACATGTAGTGCTTGTGGCCTTTCAGCTGCCTGTCCATAGCTTCTAGCAGCATCTCGTCGGTGACTTTCTCGGCCGTCATTTTGCACGCGTCGTCCATCACGGAAATGATGCCCTTGTGCGGCGCCTCCACCAGGTCACAGATTATCTGGTTGTTGAAGTACTCAATGTTGGTCCATTCGATGCCCTCTCGGTTGTACTCCTCCTGCTCTTGCTTCAGAACCAATTCTGGAATTCGAGGCCAAACACTCTGAGATGCGCTTTATTATTAATTGGGATATACTATGAATAGAAATAGATACAGTATAGGCATATTTACTATCACTAGCAGAATGGAACAACGAAAAAATTACAAACTTTCTGAAGATCAGAATATAATATTTTCGATTATACAGTGTATCCCAATAACTGTCACGTCATCCTTACTAGTATTATCCCTTTCGCGACGGAAAACGCATACATGCGTATTTTACTGAAGCATCTGACACACGGGAGCCGCATATTTTCAATCGACCGGAGAAGTGTTCTAACAACGGGAACCGCGCGCTATCGTCTCATCCACTCCATTTGCATCGTCTTTAGATGGTTTTGGTCGAAGATTTTCGTACACTTCTGGCATTGTCTATGATCGGATATCAACACATGTTACAACGATGGGAAGCGGGTGGAAGCGGCCTCCCTCCACTAGGCATTCTGTATTGTGTTCACTGTTTACTGATAGGATTGTTTGCGTTCAAAATATACTAAATTATAAATTAAAATGAGTTTTTTTTAGTATGTATATTTTCTGAAAATGGGCTCAAACAACGGGACCCGCATAAATGTGAACGCGCTTTCGAACCCCGTTGTGGTGGCTCACGCGCGCAAAACGAACCCCGTCGCGAAAAGGTTATAGATGTGAACGTAAAGTTGAGTTCCCAATGCGGCATTTCCGCTTTACGTGTCGCGCATTGAAATCTGATTGGCAACGCTGATTTTGAAAAATATTTTTGACGCGATGACGTTGAAATATTTTATCTTTTTGGCGTTGCTGCTTTGTGCTGATCATCAGGAGAGTATCTGATGGCCTAGAGCCGAAAATGTTTGAGTTGACTAATAAATAATGTATAATATAGGCAAAGTATTACTCATTAATATTGATTATTAAACTAAGTATACACAACCTTTTCTATAACCGATTCAACAATCAGCCTGATATTAATTATTAGAATACGTCTTTTGGAACTCGTAAGTCTCGGATTATTTAGATGATGAAAAATGACAAATATTTAACGTAACATGGGGTGGGCACTTCGAAGGCGCAAATTAATTACTGCATGGGAGATACCCTTCAGATTTTTTCTATTCAGTGACTTGACCAAGTATACCAATGACGTTCAAGTCTTTTGCGCAACCACACGAATAAAATTCATGCGGAAACAATAAGTAATAGAGGAATTCAATACTACCCGAAATCGTGAAATCGTTCATCGTGCCATAAAGGTGCGATGCAACAAATAATCCGTGTAGTGAGGATTATCCGTCCTCTACAAATCTGTTTTGTACATAATTTCGCAAGCCACATAATGGCCAATGGAGTAAGGTGGGTGCTTAATTAGGTCCCATATTTGGATCCCGTACTCCACCTAATTCATTGTTTTCTCGAAGTGATTAATTGAAAAAAAAATACTGTGGAGGCATTCACTGTAGGGGCCGATAGTGTTTAGCTCTCGGCCGGATATTTTTTGTTATTTTAATTGCAGTGAATTACATTTCAACAGTTGTTGTACTGTTGTAAATTATTTCAATAAAGCATGTTTCCTGTATTTGAAACTTTATTGTATGTAGTAATTTTCAAATACTGAATCACATTGATTCAGTGACAGAGAAAGAAGTTTCGATATTGCACGTCACCCCCATTGAGCATATGGAAACTTCGAAAATAATTAATCGTTTGACTAACTCGATAAAACCCGGTATCGTTGAATTCGTTATAACTTACTCTAGCCAATTAAGGAATGGAATATAGGGTGTTTCATTTGAAAATCGAAAATTGATGTCATTTCTTGGAAAACCGAAAGTTGAAAAAAAATAAACTTTTTAAATGTGAGAAAGTGCATTCTAGTGATTGATCATATCCGATGTTCCAAATTTCAGAAATATAGTTAGAAAAACAAAGGAGGAAGGGGCCGGTGTTTGGTTCCACATTTGAGTGCGTTTTGTTGAAGCCTACATACTCATGGAACTTTATTGAATTTTATTGATCGATCAGTTCCACTACAAGGACCACTTAAATGTGCAACAAACATATGAAGTCAACAAAATAACAGAATCCTATCTGAGTACAATATTAAATCATTGTAAGGGGTCAATATATTATTCTAACTTATTTAATAATTGAGCCATAAAGACGAGAAGTGAGATGCAGGACCCTGTAGATAGGAAAGATTCAGTATAGGTACAAATATCGCTAGCAAAAACAAACAACTTAAAAATTACAAACTTTCTCCAGAGCAGAATAGAAGTGAAAATATTCGAACATGGGCCTCCTTTTCTGGACTGAATAAATTGAATAATGAAATACACAAGAAACATAATATCTTGGATCCTTACAATGGTACAAAAATGAATAACTCTTGGTTGATTGTGAAGGCTATTACTCACCAATAAACAGCTGCTGCAGCTTCTCGTTGCAATAATTGATACAGAACTGCTCGAAGCTGTTATTATCGAAAATCTCAAATCCGTAGATGTCCAGCACCCCGATCAACGAGCTCTTGTACCCAAACCCTGATTCGCCCTGGTCCACCTGGATGAAAAAATCTAGTTGATATTTAAGCATTAAAAACGAGCTACCCAACTAAAACGTAGTCATCCTTCTATGGGTTCAGAGACATTCCGGAGTAGAGGGAAATGAAGTAGCGGACAAACTCGCTTTTTGGTGCCAGAACCCTTCTATGGGATCAACAGCAGTACTGTACCAGAATCAATTGGAAAAGATAAAGCTGAACAGGGTTCAGGCATCTGAGTAAATATTCAAGATCTCAAACAGGCTAAGATACTACTGGGTACATACTGGATAACAATGAAATCATTGGCCAGGGCGTCATTTAGTTGATTTTAATAATAATAATAATAATAATAATTTATTCATATTCAACAAAAGTATACATAATTTATACATAAATAATATCCACCCGAAACTAAACAGTTGAATACAAATGAATTAGCGAATCCGCGTAAGTCTAGATCAGACTTGAGTGCGAATGTACAGTATTCCTGTGCATTTCCTATCCAGCGTCGAGTAGCCATATTTCATTTATAAATTGGGTAATTATCTAAGTTTATGAAACGTAAAAAAAAAATTTGAATATTACTACAGACAGTATTCAAATATCACTATTATAGTAATGATAATAAAAGCAGTAATAGAATTACAGAAAATATGAATAATAATAATTCTTGCCCATTAATGAAAATGATAACGAAAGTAAAAATAATAAAAATACTAATACCAATAATACTAATCCTAACTGAGAACATTAATAGTACTAATAATGAGAATAATACTAAGAAAAATAATTCTACTAATAATAATAATACTAGTAATAATAATAACTACTAAGAATAATAGTAATATCAACAATAATAGAAATAACAATAATAACACTAATAATACTAATGTGATATAACATAATTATAATTTGTCATACAAATTCCTGCCCTGCTCGGTTAGCCACCTTTTGATCTTTTTTTGTATTCAACAATATTTGATATTTCCCTGAGTCTCATAGGCATAAGATTGTAAAGTCGCGGTGTTTGTACTTGAATGATTTTTGACCGATACTCTTTTTTATTTTTTTGGATATTATTTGCATGTTTTTTTTTTGACCTTGTAATGTAAGTATGAGTCGGGTATTCGTTATTCCTTTTGTTCATGTGTTGATGAACTAGCAAGTTGCAGCAGTATATTTGCCGGTTGTCAAATAGTTTGGTTTCATCAAATAATAGTGTAGTGGGGTACCTCATATTCTTACCCTGGATTATTTTTTTTTTTTTTTCATGTTAGACTTTTGACACAGCATCGACACACTGTTGAAATACCCAAGTACGCGCATGATATACCGCGCAGCCCTCAGCCGTGTTGTAGAGATGCAGGCTGCCAGTCAAGTAGGACAACTTACGGGTAGTGGTTCAAGGTCATTAGGAATACACTTACTCCAATGCATGTGCCGCGGATACAAAGTGACGCTGCTGTTTGATCCTTCAGCTGTGATTTTGATATTTGTATCGAATATATATTCCCTCAAAACTAATATTCTCCATAAAGAAACAATGGAATGTCACTTCCGATTTAACCGGAAATATATCTAGATCGATTTTTTTCAAATAGAACCCTGTAGATGTTTTTACGCCATTTGCTAGAGCAAACAATTCCATTTCCTATAACATAATACACATTTCTTCTCAGAATGGCAGCGCAGGAGAAATTGTCTCTATAATCAATATAGCGACACAGTGACGTCATCGATCAAATTTTCGCCAAACACCTTAGTAAAACGGAGCACTTAGAATATTTTATGATTCTTTCAAATTACATTATTTCTCTTAAAATCACTTGAAAATTTCATAAAGGAATTGTTTGTTTTTTTTAGAATAAGTCAGTATCTATAGATAAATGCGAGGATAAATGCCCGTCACAATACACATAGTTTTTATTTTGAGAGAGAGAGAGAGAGAGACAAATATACTCTATTATCCAAGAAAAATATGTTCCTATTGACAAAGCTTATACAAAGTATGTCTGTATAATTCTTAAAAAAATGTGAAAAAATTGAAAATCAAAACACAAATACTCAGAAACGCACAATTTGAAACAAGTTCACATGATATGTATAAAATATTGTAATATAAAACAGGATTTAACATGTAAATTTGCAGTGTGTTGAAAAAGTTTTATAATTTGAAATTATTTGACAACACCTGTCATTTGCTGTTGTCAAATTAAATATTCAAGAAATCCAATAGATTTCACGTGTGAATAGGACCGTGATGTGAATATAAGTATCTGAGGTCAACGGAAAAATGTAATATGCACCTCTGCGAAAAACTGTGTATTTTCTCGCCCAGCGTCGGCTATATATTTTTGCAGACTCAACTATAATGGACATTATTTCTTCCATGGTACATAATAACTATTTCAGTTCGAAATGGGACTCCACATATAGGTGTGAATAAAAACAATATAAACACTTTCAATCTATCGAGAAAGTGGAATATTGGACCCCAGACAACTTTATTTTCAAATGGCCAACATAAGAATGAAAAGAAAAACACCAGATCTACAAGTATTAGAACACACATATAATACCAGAAATAGAACTAACACATACCTACTTCCATTCATGTCAAAATCAATTGGGCAGAGAAGCAATGATTATCTAGGCCCGAAAATATATAACTTCTTACCCAATGAATTGAAAAACTTAGCTTCCCCCTTTATATTTAAAAAAGAATTGAAACGATATATCTCATCTACCAGTAGACCAACCATCCATGATATTTTAAATAATATTATATAATAATCTGATGCACGTCATGCAATACTACTACTCTCATGAACAAAATCTGGGAGATACTCTTACTGCTTCTTTTCTGCGTTTCTCCGTATTTATGAAATTGTTTCTGTGGAATTTTGGTGCATCATCAACTTGCTTCTATGAATATATGTATATTAGTAAAAGTTATTAAACACATTATTATCATTTGTTGCTGTTGATATTTTTACCAGTATTATTTGTTGCTGTTTGTATAGCTATTTTTTAGTGTTGTTACTATAATATAATTATTAATACTATGGTAAATGTTCATTTGTGTCACTATAATTAGATATTTTTAGTGCTATCCAAGATATGTATTATATATATATTCATCATTTATTCATTTAATTCATTCAATCAATTTTATTCATTTTATTAATTTTATTCATTTTATTCCAGCTCCTCACAAGTCCGCTTATTGGAGCTTACCCTTGTATTTATTATTTCGAAATGCTCATTATGTATTTTTTATTTATACAATAAATACCTATTATTGATAATCACAACAGAGCTTCATTGTAATATTCCTCAAGGTTGTAATACGCTTTTGTTGCAAGGGCTTCTTCCACAAAATTTCTGAACTTTTTATAGCTTTTCTTCTTCCTGATTTCGTAAGGTATATGGTCAAACAGCAATTTACTTTCGTAAATTAACAAATATTTTGTCTGGCACTCAATGGGATTGAAAAATCGGAAAAACTGCCCTCTCCATACAATTTACTCATTTCAATTATTTGAGTATTGTATAGAGAATGATCCTGACATAGTTATCAAAAAATGCCTAATTATGTAACGAATGAATGTTCATAATTTAAGAATGGATAATCATCAATCTCAGGTTCCTCAAAGTGTTGTCAATATACGATTTTACAAGCAAGTTTTCAAAAAGAAATTATGACGTTGGAGCCGTATTCATCATTACCCTTCGTGGAAATTGTCAAAGATGACCATCGGAAGAAATCAAAAACTTTATTGAGAGAAAAAACGAATAGACAATCGACAAATATATAAAACAGGTCAGTTAATTATCTATTTTTTAAGATAATCCGATTTGGTTTCGAATGATGGTAAAATTTCCCTTGATTTTATACAGGTTTGTATGAATCCATGTCGATTCTCTGGCCCACAAACTGCTGATGATGCCTCAGTTACCATACGAGCAAATCGTTCAACAACTTGGGTATTACAAGGAAAATGCGGAAAATTAACTCATGTCTGACGCCACTGTCAAGTTTATTTCCATATCAGAAGTCATTGGCGGCTCTGTAACTTCAACATCATTCCAATAAATCAATTCCGAATAATGTTTGGGCACGAAAATGATTTTGGGTACAGAAAATTCTTGTACTCTTATTTTTTCCGACAGTTCTCTCCTTGAAGATCCGTCTGATACCGAGTTCTCTGTACATTTGGTCTTCATCTATTACCAAAGAAAGCAAAATATTTTCTGGATGTGCATAAAAACTATCGCGTTGGTTTACTGGATGAACGATGTTCTCAACTTCTCCTGGCAAAGAACTGCAAGCTTCTATCAAAGTCAATAAATGCCTTGCCCCGTCAATGCATAAAGGCTTGAGTTTCACTCAAAACCAAAATGGGACATAAACTTTATTCATGTAATTTGTTAAAATGGAAAGATATTCTGACGGTTTATCTTCTGTAATGTAGAGTCTCTATATTCTATTTGCCGTAGTGCGCCAGCGTGAATGAGAAAATTTTCCAGGGTTTATTGATAATAGAGAGGTTGAAATGTCGCCTGATTCAATGGACCGAACTATTTCTAAAAGGTATCTTCGATCTGTACTCATATCATAGATTCCGATGTCGATTTCAGGAAGATTACTTTCTATCATTTTGCATTTCACAGCAGAAAGAGTTTCACAGTGTTCTAGTTTCTGCCCGATGTCACCTTCAAGTCCACGCGTGTTCCGACGTTTTCCCATCTAATTCTTCTATAAGATGCGGCAATGGAAGTTCATTGAAATTAAACAAACAAATCAGCCAATGCAGAGTATTTTCCAACTCTTTTTCTAATAAACAATTAGTTTAGTTTCTAACCCTTGCAATCAAATGGTACAAGTCATAGTTTTTCCTCAAGAAATTCAATAATGATTGTTTGATGTAAGCACTGCCACTTTCTGGTGTTACGTGACCCTAATATCCAGAACCAGGTTCGCTGATGATAGATATGTGTTCTTCCACAATGCGTTTTCTTTTATTTTTATTTTTGACATGTTGCAAGGTGTTGTCCTTCCAACCATATAAAAATATTCCAAAAAGTAGTGTACTCGCTGCGACATTCATACATTTTCCACGTTTGTATGTTCTGGCTCTACTGGACTTCATTTTATCTTTTGTCATTGCATAGTTACTTTTGGAAACCATGCCACTAAATTTTCATGGAGAAAGAGGAATTGAATGCAAAACTACATAATGAAATTGACAATTTGAGAACGAAACTGACAAAATCAAGTAAATTGCAATGTGATATTACTGTGTCCATGATAAGGATGTCTATCATGGGAATCGTTTTCATTTTTTCTGACGAAGACACTTCCTCATTCCTATTTTTGAAGCTCTACAAAATAGCGTTGATACAGTTTCCGTAGGACGTTTCGTTTTGGAGAAATAAGTTTATTTATGTGTGTCTAGTTTGATTCGACGAAAAGTGCTTTAGCGCTATAAATTAAGTGAGTTTGAAAACCCTATTTCTATTTTCCATCTACGGCTACGATTGATTTGACAGAAAATGTAACCTCTAAAATCATATCTGACAATGAGGCGCTATTAGGGACATTGAAAAAAACAAAGACCAGAATATCTGTTTTATTTTTTCATTCACTCAAGCATTGTTATTTAGAAAATAGAAAAGTTCAACAGATCAGCTGTGTCCGAACTCTTTTCTACTAATTCCATCCAGTGATTCTAATATTGTCTAGTGCGACTACCATGAATTTGGGAATTCCTAATTGATATAAAATTTGATTTGAGCTTTCCGTTGATGATGTCAAGAGTTTTGATTAAATAGTGCTCTTTCAAATAAAATGTGTTTGTTTCTTTATACAGTTGATTTATTGGAGTATCATAATGGAATACGATAGAGTACTTTCAATGCCTTATATTGAACAGAAATTTTGTTGAAACTATTTTTGGACCAAGATCCCAAAATATCTATCAGATAGTTAATTCAACTGAGGATATGTGATGTATAATATGAACTAAGTTTAAGACATCTTCTTAAAGCACCAATGACCGGTTCTTTTCGAAATTCTCGACCTAGGTCAATTCCCGGTAAAACCGGAAGTGATATTCAATGTCAAAAGTCCAACATAAAAAACAACTCAATGACGCCCCTAGCCAATGATTTCGTTGTCACCCGGTATAATTACAAAAGATCGAACGCATATGTCAGCCTAAAGGTGAGTTCCCAATGCAGCGATTTTGCAACCTGATTGGTGACTAAATTTGAAAAATATTTGACGCGATGAAGTTAAAATAATCCAACTTTTTGGCGTTGCTGCTTTGTGTTGTTTGTTGTTGTTTTGTTCCATTAACCTTAACGTTCATTAAAGCAATAGAAATTCTTTGTTGCAGAATGAATCAATCGATTAAACACTTAAAAATCGCGCATTATCAATCAGCACTGGGATGACCACTTTCGCGCACCCCCATCTTGATATATATGAATACCGGTCTAATCAGTGTGAAAAGGTACTGCGACATTGCTTTTACGAACTTGAAAAATGCCGCACTCTATTGTTTCTATAACATAGTGAAAACCGCTGTCTTCAACTTGTTATGCCTGTGATTGTTCGGGTTAAACAGTGAAAAGCGCATTTCTTATATGCGTTTTCGGACACATGTTCTATGTGCGAAGTTTGGGGAGAATTACCAAATCAAACGACGACGATATCCGAAAGGGCCCTTTCTTCACAGCCTGCAGCTGAACTCTTAGTGCTGAACGAACTTTGTAATTTTGCCTCAATTATTACATAATCGCTTATCGAAGATACCGGTCTCAAAATGTAAATTTTTCTCTGATATAATCGAGCTTATCGATCTGCAACATTCTTTCAACACAAAATTATTCATGAAAATGTAGAAATTTCGAATGCAACTGAACCTTCATTTTTGAAAGTAATATCATAAGTAAATCATTGCAGTATCACTGAAGTAGGTACCTACCTAATTATCTCATGTTTACTATGCTATTTTAGTTTTTTTTACGAATTATTTATCTGATGCAGCTCTGTATATCTTGCAAGTATCAGCCTATATTTCCAGTATTCTCAGATATTCTCATGATTTTTCAATGCAAACTTCAACCACATCGACAATAGTTGCGTTTTATTTATCCGATTCCGCCACCGGAATCACGGATGCGTCGTTTTATTTGCAACTTTTTCGATTCTGGTTGCTACTTTTCATTCCGTCTCACTACAAGGAGCGACGTGGAATGACTGTTGGCAGTTGTCAAAAAGTTAAATTAGATTGACGAAACTAGAAGACATTTAGAATACTTTTTATCGTGAGGTTCAGAAGTTTATGATTCTTTCAAGTAAACAGGTTTCATATGTTCATTCCCAGATAAAATGAAATCTCTTGATCTCAGAGACATTTATCCAATCTCCACAATCACTGCTCCAAATATTAGTTGATTCATTTTTTAGATTTTTAACTCTACTATTATGATTTTGAAATTATTTGGAGCCCCAACATATCACCAATAATATGTCAATTCCCTCATGAAGGTTCCCGTTTTATTTGTAAACGTCATTCTGTTCCCACCACCGTTACCAGAATGGAACAAATAAAACCCAACAACTAATGATAGGTAATTTCATTGGGAACTGAAGAAAATAAAACACAGTACAGCAATTCTCATTTACGCATCACCAATCAGACTGCGTGACGCGAAAAAGCTGCATTGGGAACTCACCTTAAGCAGGAAAAAATCGATAACGGGTGAATGAAACAAAACAAACAGAAAACAAATGCATACAACACAAACGCTCTTCTTCTCACCGCTATCGCCCTGTTGATCTTGTCGACGATCCACGTGAACAGCCTGTCGTAGACGGCCTTGGCGAAGGCGTCCCTGCCGAAGGCCGCCTCCGTTTCGGTGTGACCTTTGCGCACGATATCGCCCCTGGTGGCGATCACGCGCTCGCAGAGGGCGCTCTCCAGGTCGGCCTTCGGCACGTGCAGCAGGTCGGCCACGTGGTCGACGTGCTCGGACCGCTTCAGGGCGAGGTTGTCTTCGTCGGCCTCGAATTCGACGTTGCCTGCGAAGGTTGTTTTTTGTTTAATCTCTTGGAGCGCACAAAAGGGAATCTCTATATTTAGAAACGTTTAAAAGCGAGAGACCTCATTATTTTCACGTTTTTGCCGCTTGATCAGTCATGGTTCGAGCCTTCATCTCCATCTTTTTTCCTTCAATAGGCAAGGACACGAATGCGTGAATTCAATTTAAATGTACATATCTTATTAAATACGCGAGTAATTAGAAAAAATCAGTTTTTAATTTCCAACTTTGACACCCTGTATATCGAATATGAAGGGCTTAAATGGAAAATGTTATTAAGAAACTCATTTTGTTTTTGTTCAAGGAATATATGGTTAATGGATTGACCTCCTTTTAGCGGACACCCTGTATAATTGAAATACAGTATTAACATAACATGAATGCTTCCATTTTTTCGATAAAATATGCTGTAATATTTCAAAGAACACCATTGAAATTTAAAATTCCAACATCGCTTTATGAAAAATTGACTCCTGGGTGTAAAATTCATTCTTTAGATATAAGATCAAAATATAAACTTCATATGCCCCGTCATCGCACTAGTATGTTTCAGAAATCATTCACCTACCAGTCTGTAACAAACTATTGACCAATGCATCTTTCTGAGGCACAAATACGGAAAGCACTAAAAAATTATTTTTTGTCCACCCCCTTCAGTAATTCAACAATTTGATCTTATTAAATTATCCTGATGTAATATGACCACATTTTATTATATATAATATAAATTATACAAAATATGTACACGGTAAAAATTTTTGAGTAGATTTTAACTCCAGGTCCACACAACTTTGTGTCAATCCAGGTCCACACCGGATTGTGTAAATATTTTACAGGTACCCATTAAATAATAGTGACAAAAAATGTCTCAGAAGTATGAAAAATGTTGGAGAAATCATGTACAAAATTTTGACTGATATTCAACAAAATTTGAATCATTGATGAAACTGATTGTTCATTTATATTTTGACGAAAAGCTTCACTCAATAGGATTTTTTACCGTGTACTTAATATATGATTATGTCTCTTCCTTTCATGCATATATCAGAAATCATTCACCTACCAGTCTGTAACAAACTATTGACCAATGCATCTTTCTGAGGCACAAATACGGGAAGCACTAAAAAATTATTTTTTGTCCACCCCCTTCAGTAATTCAACAATTTGATCTTATTAAATTATCCTGATGTAATATGACCACATTTTATTATATATAATATAAATTATACAAAATATGTACTTAATATATGATTATGTCTCTTCCTTTCATGTATCCTTTCATGTTTTTCTCATTTCATGATTTTGTTATGTAGTTAACTAAACTAATTTCTTGCAGAGAATGCTTTATTACTGATAACTTTGTTTAATGTTGTACTCGCTAGGTTAAGTGTAAGAGTAGCCACTGGCTAAACTACGCCTATCTTGTACCTGTTCAAATAAAGACGATTTATTATTATTATTATTATTATTTGAATTCCCTTCCAAATAACTATTAATATTCATTTCGATATCATATCTCTCTATACATAAAGCAATGTTGTCTTGTCTGCAAATAATTTTAGCTTTACTATCAATTTCAGAGTTGATAATGAATTAATATAAATTAAAAATAAAATTGGTCCCAGAACTGATCCTTGTGGTATTCCACATGTGATATTCATTCACTTCAACATATTGCTTTCTATTTGTTGAATAATGTGTGAACCAATCATTAATTATTCCTCTGACACCTATCAAATATAATTTATGTAATAAAATGCTATGATCTACAGTGTCAAATGCCTTACATAGGTCTAAGGAAAAGAATCCACAGTTATAATTTTCGTCAATTCGTGACTGGATGTTCGAAATTACATCGATTACATGAAATAATCGCAGTCTCTATCTAATGTTTTTTCCTCTAAGGTGTGTATCAACATTGACAATAAAAACACTACAAAAATGCCAGCAAATACTGCAAATAAACATCATAAATGTTAAGAAAGCCATCATAATGTTGAAAAACTCCAAATAAATACTAGCAGATATCTTCATCTATGATCCTAATTGGTCTTGGTTAAATAGCTTCACTACTGTATGTTATTAGTAAAATGAAGCATTCTTCTCTGAATAATATAATTACCAAGATGCAGAATGGCAGCTACGACCCTCCAGAGACTATCTTGGTCTTCTTTGGCGAATTGGAGGGTGTTCAAGGATGACGTGACTTCACGATAATCGGTCGCATCGTTGATGGTGTTCACTTTAGCAGAGTTGCCTTGCTTGACGTAGAAATACTGGTGAGAATCGCGCGAGAGTTTCAGTCTTTTCAGCGAGTCCTCCTTGGCTCCACAGAGGAGCTGGAAAAAAATCGTTGGAAATCAAACAACATATCATGAAATAGCGGATTTCCGGGTCATCAGATGACGTTTAGCATTAGGAAAAACATTCATGACTTTCAATCCATTCTAGCTGTTAAAAATGATGACCTTGAATAATAAGGAAGCAAATAGCAGAATCATCAAAATAACTAACAAACTATATAGATTGACCGGTGTGAAGCTAGCAGCCTACCGGCCAGTTTTCACCTTCAAAAATGTTTAGCCAAGTTGAAATTCGGTACAAGCATTACTAAAGAGTCCTAGAATGATGTGTGCAAAGATGATTGATTGGAAGGCCGTCTGAGGGGTAGTTATCACCCCTCAAAATATCAAAAAAATCATAATATACCTTCAAGAATGTTTAACCAAAAGGTTAATAGTTATTTAACCAACTAGTTTATTGATGATGGCGATTAATGATCGAGAAATTTTAACGTGCGAGCGAAGCGAGCGCGTTAATGTTCGAGATCATTAATAGCCTTTTAATATACAAGTTGGTTACAAAATTTTTCCGTCGACTATATTTCTCATTTCTCCTGCAATGAAGAAAACTTGGTTCGCGTATTCATCATTCATCTGGAAACTGCTAAGAATCACCCAGTAGCCTTGTCACTGACATTAGTGACATTTGACATTTGTCGAAATGATCAACATAGAAAATAAATTCCTTGTGTTAGAAAACAGGGATTAAAATCGTGTCAGAAACTTGGAAAGGTGATCCCGTTAACAGAAAATCTTCAATGAAATCCATATTTTCGATTTAAATGCAGATTCCGTAAGTTATAGCATAAACAATGAATGCACGCGGTGTATGTTTGGTTGCCTATAAAACAATCGTACATTAATAGACAAATCGTTCATTAATAGGGGTCATTAATGAACGATTTCATGTACATTAAACTTAGTCGTTCATAATATACCTTCAAAAATGTTTAGCCAAATTGAAATTCGGTACAAGTATTACTATAAATCCCTAGAATGATGTGTGCGAAGATGATTGATTGGCAGGCCGTCTAAGGGGTAGTTATCACCCGTCAAAATATCAAAAAAGTCATAATATCCCTTCAAAAATGTTAAGCCAGGTTGAAATTCGGTATAAGCATTACTAAAGAGCCCTAGAATGATGTGTGCGAAGATGATTGATTGGTAGGCCGTCATAGGGGTAGTTATCACCCCACAAAAAAAATCATAATATACGTAAAAATCCTTTTTTTATCTCTTGAGGGGTGATAACTACCCCTTAGACAGCCTGTCAACCAATCATTTTCGCACACATCATTCTAGGGCCCTTTAGTAATGCTTGTACCGAATTTCAACTTGGCTAAACATTTTAGAGCTTTCAAGTAACGATGGTACTGAATTACATCATGGCTTAACATTTTTGAACGTCAAATTACTTAGGCAGGCTTATGATCACTGAATCAGTCTAAATTAGTCTGAATCATCTCTGTATGTCATTTCTCAAGAACAGAAACATGTATTTTCCATTAAATAACCCCTTTTCATGATAAAGGTGGATAAACATTTTTTTTTAAATCCGACGCCACTGGTGGTTTGACTGCCAGGTGAAAACTGGCCGCTAGCTTCACACCGGTTATGGATTGGAATCTTTTAGTTTCCTACCAGGTACCTACCATGGTGAACAGACTAAGTAACTCATTACTGAATAATAGTAATATTAGTGATTTTTGTTTTCTATTGACTCGGCCGTTACTTTATTGAAATCCATACCAATGGTAAAAAAATTACGAAAGAAAAGATTTCCACAAAATTCTCAATAACAGCACATTTTTTGCCAACACAGTAGCTGGAAATGATTGTACAATGAATTAATCTAACAACATTGAATTGTCTAATTTACGTATGGACACAGTCTTTCAGGTAAGGGAAAAACTTTTAAAATTCATTTCAAAAGAGCTTGAAGTTCTGCTTTAAAAAAGATGAAAAATGGCCTACTCAGTCACGTGACTTCTGCTTTATGTCGATAATAAAATTTTTCAAATTAGTCGCTGAAAATAGGCTCATTTGTTTGAATTTCAAAAAGGTTCATGAAAAACGGTTGTTTATATTTATCATGCAACTAACTTTCAATTACTGATCATCGTGAAAAATATGATTTTCATCAGGAAATAATCATCCTGCTTCGAATTTCTGATATGTTTTATTCAAATTTGATATATCATCAAGCATTTAGGGTCCAAATTTATTCATTTGATTTTTTCAGTACTAAAATGATGCCAAAGTCGTCAATCAAAATATCATAGGACCACTGGTTTGAAACAATTTAGTCGAAGTTACATTTTTTTTCAGTAAAACAGAAATTGACAGAGACACATTATGTAAGATCGGAATAGAAACGTCATTTAAATTCAAACAAGTATGCCTATTTTGATCGATTAATTTGAAAAAAATCCAGCTTTTGACATGAAGCGAATAAGAATAACTTGTGGTGAAGTTTTATTCTGGTACAAAAATCGATTGGGTGACATTCGCTGAAACAAAATAAAAATTAATCATCACCAGATGAACCTTCTTGTTGCTTCAGTAGAAGTACTCATTTGTTATTTTCCCTTTTTTTGGGTTAGGAACTGCGTTTTGAACATCTTTGTCGAGCTGAAATCTACCACTTTGCGCTCTAAACACATCCTGCAACAGATAAATCGATGTTCTCACCTGGTAGAAGCAATGGAAGTTTCTTTCCCCTGCTTGTTGATGTATAACTCTCGATTTTTCCAACAGATATTTGTTGATGTGGCCGCCGATGGGATCACCTTTGAAATCGAAGTGGATGTCCATGTATTTGCCGAACCTGGACGAATTGTCGTTCCTATTGGTTTTCGCATTTCCGAATGCCTCGAGGACGGCGTTCGATTGGATCAGAACATTTTTCACCCTTTCTATTTCTTTTTGACCCCCTAAAAAAATACTGACTTCTAAATCGATCAAAAACATAAAATCATTGATTGACACTAAAACACTTTTTATTATCTTCACGACAATTTACCGTTGAAAATCACATCAAGGGATACCTGTTTCGAACATATACAGTGTGTCCCAAATTCGATCCTCACCATTGGGATCTCAGTAACTATGAGAGATAGAGGAACGCTTAAATTACCAAAGTTGTAGCAAATTCAATGTTGAATCAGAATCTATCAAGAAATCCAGGCTAGCTTCAGTCATTCTTGAGTTATTCGAGAAAAAATGAAATATTGTATTTTTGTTTTTCTCGAATATCTCGGAAACTATTGATTTTATGAAAAAATGACGTCATAATTCTTATGGCACTTTTTGGTGTTCTTTTCAATGGTTTCGTCAGTTTTCCATCATTAAGTCAAATTTCTGAGATATCACCTACAACTTCGGTTTTTCTTATGGACGCCATGTTGGATTTTCACAGATTTGAAATCAGCATAGAATTTCCTTTCTAGTGATGCATCACAGTCACAGTTTTATCGCATAAGGAGTATTGATTTCCAATTTTTGTTTTTATGTCCAGTAGGCTATGCGCTAAACTCTCTATAAACAATAACGATTATTTGTTCTGGCACAACTTTCATAGAGTAGGCTTGGAGCCAAGTGCCTTTTCGGTAAACGTCAAGAGAAAATACAAGTTAATTATTTCGGGACAAACAATGCCGTTCACAAAAACCAGTGACAGTACAAGGGTTCAGACCTGGTGATAATGAACGTCGTCCCGAGTTTTGTCACTGGTTCGTCAACCAGTATGAAAAAATCGATTTCGATATCTCGAAAATCAATTTGGTGCTGAATTTTACTACTCATGGACCTGTTAGAATGCCTCCAAGGTCGCCTGATTGTACGCCTCTCGATTTCTACCTGTGAGGCTACGCCAAAAATAAAATTTCTGAAGGGCCAATTCAAGATATTGATGATCTACGAGAGAGTGATGGACACATTCCAGCACATCAACAGAGTTCATCTGAGAAAAGCAGTGAATCATGTTCGCTCGCGAATTCCAAAATGTATCGAGAACAATGGGGGCCATTTCGAGCAATTAAATTAATTTTGTTTAGTATTTGTATTATCCACCTGTTGAGTAATGCAAGAACATAGAACACAAATTCCATAATCTAAGGTAAAAGTCATGGTCGAGTGAAGTAGTAACTAATAACACAACATGATGAATTGTCGTGGAGATAACTTCGAGAATTATTTATTAGTTACAGAATTCATAGCCTACTGGACATAAAAACAAAAATTGGAAATCAGTACCCCGAATAAAATAAAACAGTGATTGTGATACATCACTAGAAAGGAAATTTTATGCTGATTTCAAATCAGTTAAAATCCAATATGGCGTCCATAAGAAAAATTTTAGTTGTAGGTGATAAGTAGTTAAAACTAAGAGAGCATGACTACCAGCATAGGGAAATACATGCTTTAATCTTAACTGGAACGCGGCCTGTGTTCTAGCGGGGAAGCGGGGTAGCGGGAGCGCGATGGTGTGACATCATCAGTGACAGGGTGTTTGAGTTGAATAAAAATTGAAAATTATATATACAGGGTGTCCCACGGTTAGACCACCCCACTTTAGGGGTAAATATTGAAGGATTGGGGAGTGTGGGTACTCTGAGAGAAGGATTTTTCGCGAACATTCCAAAAATGTCAACTTGCCTATATGCAAAGTCCCAAGGTTTACAAGATATCGCTCTAAATGCGTTGGAAATATCATATGAAATAGTCTCTTTGGATATGACATAGTAGAGCTAGTTTCGATTTTTTTCCCAGCGTCAAAAGAAAATATGAATGAGTATTGAAGTTGAATTGAAACAAATAACAGGAAATTACTGATAAGAAGATATTATAATAGAAAAACAAGTTTATCATTTGAAAGAAAAAACAAATTTTACAAGAAATGGGAAAAAAACAATCTCTTATCAGAAGACAACATATTATGTGAGAAACATTATGTTTTCATTCTACCACCTTGATATATAACAGCGGAGCGCTCTGACAAAATTCAGTCAACGTTCAACATCCACATAAATCAACACCTATAGCCACATCTAATAGCAATCTTGTGTAGTGCCAACTGCTGATACCTAATAAAAGTAAGTTTTTTTTTTTCTTTATATTCACCTGGTAATGCAATTTCTTTAAGTAATTTTTTTGTTTTTATTTCTAAGAGCGAATAATATTGCATGATATGTTTTCTTTAATAATTATTTCATTGTTGATGTACATATCATAATTCATTTCGATGTTTTTCATATTGAAAAGTGAATGTCATTGTGTGTTTTCATCGATTCATTTCTTCGTGTACACATCATAATTCACTCATTCTATTTCAAACATTTGAAATGAAGAGATTTTCACTGATGTTGTTTGATTTCTGATTTTTAGGTATCACATTACAGTTAGACAGCCACATAAAATCAACACCTAGTCACATCTGATAGCAATCTTGTGTAGTGCCAAAACTGCCGATATCTGAGAAAGTGAGTTTTTTTTTCTTAATATTCACTAAAGCATGATCCTGATGTTTGATGCAATTTCCGTAATTCACTTTTTTTTGTTTTTATTTCTAAAAGCGAATACTATTGCTTGATATCTTCATTTTTTTTTTTTTTTTTGTGTGTACATTTCATAATTCATTTCAATGTTTTTCATATTGAAAAGTGAATGACATTTCGCGTTTTCATCGATTCATTTTTTCGTGTACACATCATAATTCAACCATTTAAAATGAAAAGACCAGTTCCACAATCTTTTCTTTTTAGATGGATCTGAATGCAATCAATAATGTTGGGCTGTCATGCAACAGGAAAGTGTTGAGGAAACTGAGCCAACTGCCCCTAGATGTACCACACCCCATTGTCGGAGTGCAAATTAAACTGGGAAAATACGGAGAAGCACCACTCGTTGAGTTGGACGATTGTAAGGTGTTTCTACCAGGCAGAGCGACCCAAGCCATCAAACCTGCGGTGGAGCAGTTTATCCAAAACAAGTACGCCCTCATCTACAAGGGACGAAAAAACTGCGGCCAACTCCATCCCATCGAGCAGTTTGAGATTGTCGAAACAACACCTCAATCACCAACATCATAAGCTATTGAGAATCAGAGTGTGAGTCATTTTACTTTGTCACTTTTCGCAAGATACATTTGTAAAGATGAATATCGCTAAACAATCAGATAACTTAGTGATAGCCATTAGGAAACTAAAGAAAATTTTGTTTGATAATTTCACTGATAGGGATGAAAAAATTTGGTTAAATCGCTTAAAGAGGTACATAAGATTATGTAACAATGAAATTAATAAGAATAAGATGTCCATAGGCTTGATGAGAAAGTTTCAAACGAATGTTGGTCATTTTAAGCATTTTCGCAATTTAATTCGAAATAGACATCGAGACAGTAGAGGGCTTGAGTTGAAAAATAGGGTTCAATGGAGAGATGTGGCATCAGGTTTTTCAAGTAGAATCAGAACGGGAATAATCATCAATATAACACATAAGGACTTGGAGCAATTTTTTATAGATGCATTCATTTTATTCAAAAATAAAATCAAAAATATATTGAAGGGATTTCCAATTATTAAAGTGAACGCTAATTTCTGTGGAGAATTCATAAAGAAATCAGATGATGCAGAAATTATCGAATTGAAATATTTCAACACTAAAAATGCCATTGTGGACGTAGGAACGGATTTACAACATTGGTACTATGATAATGTTCAGGATAAAATTTTGAATAAATTAAGTGAATTTCAAGAACGTGACTCTGGGTGGGCTTTGCATAAAATAATATCAATGGAAGTTAATATTAACAAACTTGAAATGGGAAATGGTTCATCCTTTATTAGACTGCCAGAACAAATTTCTAAAAAGCGAGCATGTTTGAATATAAAAAATACTGACTCGGCATGTTTCTATTGGTCAATCATAAGTGCCTTCTACCCAGCGAAAACACATAGGGAACGGACTTCTTCATATCCATATTACACTACAGTTCTGAAAACAGTAGATTTAGATGCACCCATGTCTCTACGTCAAATTCCAAAATTTGAAAAAGACAATAACATTTCCGTGAATGTATACACATTAGAGTTGAATTTAGTCAAGGAAAAATCATATTATACTGTGGTGCCAGCCAGACTTACAAAAAATAAATTAGAAAGGCACGTTAATCTATTGCTAATTCAAAACAAATATTATCCAAAATTAAATGATTATGAGGCTCCTCCGATTGATGAAGAAGATTCTGACATCAAATACCATTACTGTTTGATTCAAGATATGTCTAGATTAATATCAAGCCAAGTGAATAAACATAATGGTAAAAAATTTATTTGTGAAAGATGCATGAATTATTTTCAATGTGAACAAAAATTGATTGATCATCAAATGCTGTGTTCTGAATTGAACCAATGCAAAGTTTCATTTCCAAAATATGATCACATAGAATTCAAAAATTTCACCTACCAACAAACCACCCCCTTTATAATTTATGCAGACTTTGAATGTCAATTAGAACATGTGGATGATATGGTTTCATCAAAAACAAGCAAATATCAGAAACATGTGGCTCATAGTGCAGGCTATTATTTTAAATGTGATTTCGATGATTCCTTGTCGTTTTTCAATAGCCATAGGGGTGAAGATTGTATGGATTGGTTTGCAAATGAAATGTCGAAGATAGCTGAAATCGTGCAATCTAAAATCAAAACAATCGTGCCAATGACTGTTAGTCCTGACAAATGCAAAGCAAAAATCTGTCATATTTGTGAGAAACCATTCAGGGAGAAAGACATTATCGTAGCCGATCATAATCACTTTTCAGGCGATTTCAGGGGGTGGGCGCATCAAGCACCCTGTAACATAAATTTCAAGAAACTCTTTGTTGTTCCAATTGCATTTCACAACCTGATAGGATATGATTCACATTTCATGATCAGTCAATTGAGTAA